CCTAGGGTGAATTTTAAATAGGGATAATTTTTAATGATTTTAATAATGTCACAGCTACAAATATTTGGTTTTAATTGGCTTTTATAGGGGAAATGTTGTGTGTGTTGTTTGTATTGTGTTATTTTAATATGCTGTGAGCCGCCCTGAGTCCCGTGGGGAGAAGGGCGGCATATAAATTATGAAAAATAAAAAAAATAAATAAAATAAAAATAAACCGGTAAGCTTCTGGGGGAACAGAGAACTCATCCAGTGCAATATACAAAGATGGAGTAAGATATGGATGCTACTACAATAAACATTAATTTTAGGCTTCTTAAGGGAACTTTCTAACTAAATTGCAAAATGAAGAAGCAAAATAAAAAGAAACTGGGGTATGTAAATTATCAGAGCTGTTCCGGAAAAATTATACTGACTTATTAACTAAGCCATAATTGTCAGATCAAGGTGCATAGTCTCTATTATGATTTTAAGCTACATGGATCTACCGAAGACAGAAGATAGTTTTAAGAGAGTTTAAGACAGCATGATAAAACTCATCATTATTTATGGTCTGTTCCCTTGTTTATTTTGTCCTACTGCTGTTTCTGGCAAGACTAAAGTCATGCAAAATTCTACTTGTTCAGGGACAATTCTGAAGCAAAGGAAACAAACAACCACATTGTGAGCAAGAACTATTTTTTGATTCCGGTTACAAAGATAACAATTCAGTCATTCCATTAAATACTTTACCTAAAGTGGAAGTCCAAAATGTCTGAATGTTTCATTTGCTCTTTCAAGCTACTTCTTTCACAATTCTAACAAGCAAACTATAATGCTGAAAAATATGCAAAATTACATAAACGTATGCCAGATCTGTTAAGCTTAGTTTCAAATTTTCTTTTCAGAACTCCCATAATTCCACACCATATGACGGTTATGCTCTATAATATTCTATACACAGCAGCAAATAGCCAGCCAAGGAACATATGGGATATGGTTTTATAGAAGTATTTATTAGCAAATTTGGTAGTCCCCAATAATTGTCAGAACTGTTCATAAACCAGTATTTGTAAATACAGAATATGTGATTATCTTAGGCAGGAGAAAAATAATAGTTTCTAATAAAACAAGGAAGAATAAAATAGAGAAAAATCCTAAATAGATTTCAGGAAGGAGGATAAGTGACAAGCAGTGAAACCACATCTGAAGTAGCTTCCACAATTCTGGGTATCACGTTCCAGAAGGATATTGACAAGTTAGAAAAGGTCAGTGGAAGACACCAAAGATTAGAAAGGACATCTGGGGACATGCCTTATGTAGATAGGATGAAGGAACTTGAGTTCTTCAAACTGGAGAAAAGAAAAAAAGACTGAGGGATACATGACATTAATATTCAGGTACCCAGAAACTATTTTCCAATGCTACAGAGAGTGGGACCAGAAATAATGGGTATAATTACATTTAAGATCTCATTTAAATCTAAAGAAAAATGTCTTAGCTGTCAGTTCTGAACAACAGTAGAACAAACTACTAATAGAGGTTATGAATTCTCCATCTTTGGAAGCTTCTATGAAGAGGATTAAATCAGATAGTTTAAGTAGTTTTCATATACTGTATATTGCAGAGGTTTGATCTAACTCCACCGTTCTGTTAATTCTGTGAACTGATGTGTAACATCACACCATAGTATCATTCTTATTTTGCCATTCTGAAGCAAACAAGAATGTTGTTGGTGCGCTGGATGTAATTTTGTTGCTTGCCTGAAGCAATAGCTGCTCCATCTTAATAAGCTAGTATAGCAAAGTGAAATGCAGTATGTACATGCTCTCTTTGCAAGTCACGCAAATTTGCAAGCCTGTTTTCATAAGAAACAATTTCCCATTTTGAATAATTTGCCGTCACTGGCAAGCTTGGTCACATACATTCTGACTCTAGATAATTTGTGAGCAATGCCTTACTAGTTACTCTTTCATATTCTTGCACTAGGTGTCTAGAACAGTGGTTCTCAACCTTTTTAATACCGCGACCCCAACCGGTCGTAAGTCGAGGACTAAACCGGTTGTAAGTCGAGGACTAACCGGTCGTAAGTCGAGGACTAAACCGGTCGTAAGTCGAGGACTACTCAACCGGTCGTAAGTCGAGGACTTTTCCTGCCCGGGAGCGCCGCACATGCGTGGTTCCGCCCCCTGCGCCGGCCGAGGCGTAGCTGGCAAGCGGCAGAGACGGAGCAGGCCGACCACCAGCTGGCCCAGCCCAAGGGAGGTAAGGCACCTGCCGGAAAAGGGAAAAAAATGGCAGACAAAAAAAAATGGCGGACAAAAAAAAATGGCGGACAGCCTTGCTTGGCGACCCCCGGGAAATGGTCAATCGACCCCAAATGGGGTCCCGACCCACAGGTTGAGAACCACTGGTCTAGAAGAAAAAAGCAATTTGAACAAAGATTTAAAGGAAATGCCACGGCTGTGAATAGCAGCAATGTCCACAGAAGGAAGGTGAAACTGACAAAGTCTGTGTTGCATTGCAAGCCTGACCCAGCATTTTTTATGAAAGTAAGAAACCTCTGTGGACACCCATGACTGGGAAAACATACACATCCCACTCAAATGTACACATTTCCATCACACATCATGGTGCAATTCATTCTAAGACACAGATTGTGGCTGCAACGTACAGTTTTTCCTTAGAAACGCTCCATAAATATTACCCAAGTTTCAGAATTTGAATCATTGCCTGATTAAATGACAAGATTTCTTCAGAGAACCAAAGCTTTGTTTTGAGGCTGGGGTTGTTTTGAGGAGTTGCGTGCTGCTGGCCCACATAGGCATTGAGAAAAGCATTCAAATGATACATCGACTGAAAAAAAAAACCCCAAACCAAGATCCCCATATTCATCCTTTTCCTAGCAACAAGGAAAACAGAAATAAACCTCTGTTGAAAAAGCTAAGCGTGAATGTGCTGCTGTTTGCTAAACATTCTGCTCGTGAAGATGCATATATCAGTCTTCTAATTTAACAATGAAACTACGTCACTTACATGGCTCTCTGGTAATGAACTGAGGTACTGCATTGGGGGTGGCAGGAGTGCTGGGATTAGGAGTTCCCACTAATTTGCTCTTAGCCATCTTCGTATTGGCCTTTGCAAACTCTAGTCGGAGCGTCTGAGGGATTTCTGGGTCAAAACGAATTCCCTTTTGCAAAAAGAAAATAAAATAACAAGAATCATTTGATGTATCAACTGAACTGAATTGCACTAAAGGTACACTCAAACTGACTGACAAGGCTAGCAACAGCATTTCAACAAAGCAGAAGCTTCAAAGTAAGGATATCCAAGATGAAAGAGATGCCATTTTTCTGAGCTCTACCAAATAACAGCATGCCTTTAAAAGCTCTGTAATCTTTGCCAGATAAAATGCTTGATAGACAGGCTGGATTCTTAACAGGTTCATGGTTTACAAAGGAGCTCGGGATGATAAAGCACCTATAGGGATGCCTGTTGCAATGGTGGCGAAAGACAAGGAAGAACAATGGCCCAGACATGGTTACAACCCCATATTTTGGCCTACAGTCTGGCTCTAGGAGTGGTGTGTTGGACTTCAGAATGTTGACTTCCCTCTTTCACAGAGCTTTTCAGGATTGAGTTTGGAAGACACAAGCATATTTCTTATAATTTTTCAGATGTTGCGTTTTGGATTTGGAGAAGTTTTTTTCCTCTACTATTGAAATCTGTCTTAAATCTTTAAAGTAAACAACATATAAATGATTGTAATAAATGTCTTTGCAATATATTTTACATATTATAGATTCAAAAGAATAAAATAGTTTTTCCTTCTATATCCGTGTTTTCTGGTTCTTTGGAGATAACTCTCTTGTTTGGCTGACAAGAGTTATGTTGGCTGTTCCGTTGGGCTGAGTTCATTGTTGAGAGATAATATCTATGTTTTTGCCCTTGGATGAAACACAGGAATGCAGTATTTGAAGTCTCTGGAGTAGATGAAGCTTAGGTATCCCTTTACAAAATATGGTTCATCTAATTATTATTGTGTTTCATTTAATGTAAATAGTTACTTATTTGAGCTTATACCATAAAAACCATGTATGTACAAGATACTCTTACTAGATTAACCCATTTTGTGAGTTTGCACAATACATTGGAGCATAAAGTAAGGTAGAGGGCTGCATTTACATATACAACGGACAAACGACATATATAATTAAAATTCACTATGCTTCGCACATTTTGCAGAAGCAGCCAGGAGGTCTTGATTGAGCAATTTTGCTTTTCCCCTCCTTCTTTCTCAAACAGGAGGTGGAGGAATTTTTTGTGCTTGGCTACAAGCCAGATAAGAAAAGAAGAGCCATCACATTAGAAATTTGGGTTGGGTTCCAAGAAATGAGACCACCAATTGGTATTAGTGAAGCCAGATGCAGTATAGGTTTTGTACTGGAATGTGGGAATGACCTTGTGGGTCAGGTGTTAATGTACAATATAAAGTTAATACTTCTAGGTGTACCTCTTGTCTGGACTGCCTTATAAAGCTGACAGATTTTGCTTTTATTTTATGAACAGTGATCTCAGCTCCAGCATTATGTTGTGTGTTGTGGGAGATCCTAAATTGACAGAGCTGATTGAGATCTGTCTCATCAGATGCAACTGATCATTCCCTTTCTCCTTTTTAACTATGCAAAAGAAGTAAGAGAAGAAAACAAGAGCAGTAACATGTAAATCATAAGGAGGTAGGGGATCCTCAAAAATGAAATAATTAGAGAAAGGATGAAGAGGGAATAGAAGCAAGCTTGAATTCCTCTTCTTCATTTTTAATTAAAAGCATATCAGTTTAGTCAACTGCATTTTAAATCCCCTCAAAGACATTAAAGACAAAAATTAGAATTAATAAGGTTGTTTAAAATGGCAATTATAAGCTTTGAAGTTTCACTTGAGAAACAGAAGCTCATGGGCTAAATATTCAGCCATCAAAACGTAGGCTAGACATCCTCTGATCCTCAGATTTAGCAAGCCTCATTAAAATGTGTGTACTTTATTGTCAACTGCAACCTCCCATCTCCAAGACGAGCAGAGCTAATCCTCAAAGAGGTTATCAAGGCCACCTATCCTGGGAAGAAAAAGCAGACCATAAGAGAATACCATTTCCCTGTGCTGAAAACCCTCCTTCTTCCTTACAGAAGCCACTGGGGATTGTTTCCCTGTGATGATGACAGGGCCATCTTTTTTTGAAGCTATGCCCTCCTCTTGGTTTTCAGGAATGACAATATAAACGAAACATGAAGCACTGATGTGTAAATTGCTTTGCTTACCTTTACCCTCCCCACTTTCTTTGCCACCTGGTTCATGTCCTACTATATTGTAAACCCAAGAATAGAGTTTTGGGAGGAAGAAACTGAATATGACCTTACTGAAAATCTTAGTCACAAAGAGAGGATCGCCTTTCCTGTGATTTAGAATGTTGGAGTGTAAAATAATGTCAGCCTCCATCTGCAGTCAGAAAAGCTCTATACCTGCATGAGATTTAGATCTAGAATAAACAATTTAACAAATTGACTGTGCTGGCAAGGAGCATTTTCAAACTACAGTAAATTCTTATTATTTATGCTGGTTAGAGTCTCTGGTCACATATTTTTCTCAACCGATCAATACTTAATCTTGTTTTATGTGTCTTTTTGCTTAAAGACAACTTATTTAATGCATATATTTCTTAGAAATATACCCAGTACTGGGGGGAAAAATCTTAAAGTTTAAACATTTAAAGTTTTATAAAAACTTAACTTATTTTTCATGGAGCTGCAGGGATGTATGATGGAGCAGTGCACCGTGAGGTTAAGTCTAGGGCAGGGGTTTGATGGAACCTATTCTGCAGAAGAAGATACTGTATTGTATTTTCTTTGTAAGGCACAAAACAGCCTTCTTGCACACAGAACCACTAGGCTTGGGGGCTATTTAACCAGCCCGACCATCAGTATGAGAGAAGGAAGAGCATTTGACTTGTTGGATCACAACTGGAAATGTGTACATCAGCTGACTCAATTTTTTTTTTACTATTCTGCACATGAATATGAAAATGCTACAAATGCTATTGACTTTGAATTTACAAATAAATGTTACTGAACAGGTGAGTTAAAAAGTACAGAACCAGTGAATAATGAAGATTTTCTCTATATTCTGAGAGTTGGTGCTATAGGAGAAGGTCAACTTAACCGAGCAGCAGAATACACTTTTTAATGCAAAAGGCACGGATATAAATCTGAGCCCTCCAGTTTAAAAAAGGATGAAGTTGCAGAAACCATCAGTCAATCCAGATCAATTAATATGGAACCTTTTCTGTCATGGCAACTACCCTTTGGAACACCATCCCCCAGAGCAATGCTTTTCAACCTTGGCAATTTTACGATGTGTGGACTTCAACTCCCAGAATTCTCCAGCTAGCGTTGCTAGCTGGAGAATTTTGGGAGTTGAAGTCCACACATCGTAAAGTTGCCAAGGTTGAGAAACACTGCCCCAGAGCAATGCTTTTCAACCTTAGCAACTTTAAGATGTGTGGATCAACTCCCAGAATTGCCCAGCTACCATGGCTGGCTGGAGAATTCTGAGAGTTGAAGTCCACACATCTTAAAGTTGCTAAGGTTGGGAAACACTGACCAGAGAGTAGATTAGATTGACACTCCTGGGGATCCAGTTTTGATACAAAGCCTATTAAATGGTTATGCTTAAGGCTGTGTTTTCTATCTTGCCTGCTGAATATGTTTTATTTTTATATAGTTTAAAAATGTTTTTATATGTTTTGTTGGTTTACACATTCACTTATGTGAGATGGGCATATATATGAATCAAATGAACCAACCAATCCTTATGTGGATGGTCAAATAATCTGACCTGATATAATATTTTCGTATACTAGGGACATTGTAGGAGAACTTTGTTAATCTATTGGAAACTAAACAAAACAAAAAAATCAGGAGGAGTCTGGTACTGCCTTTCACAACAAATGAAAGACACAAGGCTTTTGGTGCTGCAGCATAAGATCAAAAAAAGTTTATGATTTTGAATAAACTTGTTAGTCAGAAAAACCAGACTCTTCCTGAGTTTTTTCCTATACCATGAAGATCCTAGCACCACTTTCATTACAGGCAAATACTGCAGGCCATGAGATAGGAAGACACAGCCAAAATATAAGCATGTGACATTTTTAAATAATGGCCATTTCAGACCCTGCTGCCTAGCAAGTCTCTCAATTCAATGTACGAGTGTACATTGTCATCCTTCTCCTCTCTGCTTCCTTGGTTCTGATTAGTCCTCCACTGCGGTAGTCAATGGGGGATTACATAAGATGGCAGCAGCTAGTGCCCTCTTCCACCCTTGCCCTTTCCTCCTGTGCTTGTTTTTGTAGAGAGACGAAGTAATTTTAAGTACTTCAGCTATGTGCAAGAGAGTGACCAAGTTGTCTCTCAGGACAGCCAGGAATGATGGTAGAAAAGAGACCAAGTGCTAAGGAGGAAGTCTACATCTCTGAGCAGATGACAAGGTGTTCCCATAGCTGAGAAACTGTCCTCCCGGTAGCTTCAGAGTAAAAACTGCCAAGCATCTGTGTGACATTTCTGTTGCAAGAGCAGAAACAAAAAGTTGATGGATTGGGCTTCTGATTATATCCACAAGCTCCCTAGCAAGGTAGGGGTATACATGTGTAGGGCCATTCTAGGTTTAGGCAGCCCTTTCATGTGCAAAGGGCCTATGAGGAGCATATAGAAGCACACTGGCAATGTTCAAGGCCCTTAAGCAGGCAGAGTGAGACAATACTTAGCAGAGTATTGCCAGCTTTTGTTTCCACAAAAACAGGCTAAGAACAGGAAATGGCAAAGCAAAAATACTGGGTTATTAATTATACAGTACTATACAAGGCACAATCACTGATCCATAAGAGTTTCTCTGCTGAAAAAGCAGCAACTGAAAGACACGTAAATTGTGGGGGAGAAAAACACTGAAATTCCTATTTGGTGTTTTCTGATGTAACCTGAGCAGGTTGTTTTTAGTCCCCAGCCAGAATTCTTGGCCATGTTTTTGAAAGAAATTTGTCCAGTGCTTATCTGATAGATGCTTTAGCAGTCATCAGTTAAATTCTCCATAGTTCAAGGAGGGTTCTGGGATGTGCAAAAATCAGGACTGCTAATAAAGTCAAAG